GTTTAATTATCCGTTGGTGAAGTCAGCGGAACAGTATTCCTAATAGACAGCGGTATTATTAAGTCCCTCGAATGACCAAATTTTTCGCAATTTCCAGCCACTACTCATCTATGGTGGTTGCTAAACTATGTTGTTCTTGAGCGACTGACCCTCAGGCTGGTGTCACCGAGTTGGCTGGTTGACAAATATCTACATTTCACAGGGGAACAAATCCGAGTACCTCAGGTAAAACAACGTCCCACTTTCCTTCTAGGAGATAAAAGCGGGCTGTGTTGTTTTTTTTTCCTATGAGTGAACGGCTTCCTTTTCAATTCTTAGAAGTGCTCGCACTCCAGAAGTGCAGCATAACGTTTAAACAAGCCCGCATCAACAGGCTATGTTTGGTAACAAATAGTTGAAATGAGACAAGAACAGGTGTTTACGACACGCAAATATCGGCTCGACAACTAGAATTCAAATCAACAAAGTAGTTATGAGTATCCTCAAACGATTAAAAATCCAAACGGAACTGAGAGGACACGATTTAATTGGGTGGCCTCACTATACCGACCAATGAAAGCAAGCATGTGTGACTAAAATGGCACATAAACTGTACGCACATAATGAGATTTTGGATGAAAATTGATCAGTGGTTGAGTAGAATGGAAAAGACGGTGTTGACAAAGGGTTGAGAGGAAGCAGAATGAAAAAAAACATGATAAAGCAGATCACAAAGAGAGTCTTCCTCGTAATTGACTGAAAAACTGACTGAATTAAAACGAGGGCAACTCCAAACACGGTAGAATGAAAGACAGACGGTAGATAAAACAGAGCAGGAGGGGTTGCATCACGATAGCTCCATATGATTAGTTATATTACAAACCAACCTTGGAGGCCGGTTAAGGGCCAAAAAGAAATAATGCAAGGATGCACACATCACTCCCTTGACAAGTGAACTCAAAGAAACGTCGAGCAAAAATCCCTTAGGCTACCGATCTACAGTTTCCGAAGTAACATGAGCTGATATCACAATCGGAGAGGCAGTATGCACTGCTTCATGAGTTCCGTTTTCATCTGGTTCGGAGGACTGCCGACTAAGCGAGCACCTGTTTCCTTCTGTGGTGGACTCGCAGCATGTTTCCTTGGGGGCAGTCCTATTTGATTCGAGGATCATATCGAGTTCGATAGGCCGAAGACAAGACGGGCATACGAAAGAGCGCATTAGCCAGTCATCAATGCATGCTCGATGGTACGTATGTAGGCAAGGTAGATAGCGCACGTCATCGTTCAGCTTCAGATCACACATGCAAATGATGCATCTTAAGGGGGGCATGGAAACACAAGAATCCGTGTCAACAAAGATTATCCAGCAGTAACAGAACAAGCAGACTTCACAAGCTTAAATTTTATCAAAATTTAACCAGTCCCAAAGAAGTAAACCACCGTTTTTTGTGACAATTACACATGGACTGAACAACGCAACAGGCAGCCAGTAGTCAACATCAAGTAAAGAATTAACAAACCGCCTGATTGAAACGCTTTCTTAAAGAGATGTGCGGTCCACAGGATAAGAAAAGATAACGAAATTATCCCACGCAACGTCGATTCAAAATGCATCCGAACTGTCTTATTCTCTTCCAAACTACATGTCAATCAACTGATACATTTAGATCCCTGGGAAGAAATCCTGAAACTTTTGGACTCGAACACAAAAAGGCGACCAAAAAACAGTTTTCGACAAGTTCAACGACTGTGAGATTATTAAAGATCAGAACAAACAGCTGCACCCAAAAAGGATGCAGACTTTCCAGTGGCTATGACCACAGTCCACGCCAAATGTAAACCAATGTAAAGCACCGGTAATATCAACAAGACAAAAGACGCTACGTAGAGCCTATTGAATTCCATGTAAACCACACTCTGCTCTTGTTCCAGGTAGCACCACTTGCCAATTCAAAACCAAGTGCATCCAGCAAGGTACCATAGAATGCATATGTCCATTAGGTGAATTCATGATCAATCTGTTGCAGTTTCAAATTATTGTGATTCAGTAAGGCTCAGAAGAAATGCTCGTTGCAGCGCAGCCCTTACTAAAGGAACCACCACACGTCAAAAACACAGCTGCTTTTTATTCTACACCTGTGAACAGGTGGATTAGTCCTGATTTGTCAAGTATCCCAAGTCCCAAGTATCTAAGCATTGTGAATCATTTGGGACTCTATGGTATCAACAAACTCTAGATAAACAAACAGCATGGAAAATGCAGACCAGCAGTCATTCTGAGTATTGGACCAGTGGTTCTCAGACGAAAGAGACCTAGCGCGATATTTCCAAAAAAATCATGGAGGAAGAAAGACCACAGTTACATAAACCCGGGCTTCTAAAAGATTGATTGAATTGAATTGTATTGAATTCGACTTTTCGCCCTTATTGAAATTCTCGATATAAGCGCCGATAGACTTGTTAGCAGTTTCAGTCTGGTGTCCACAAGAACGTGCACTCGCCGAACGGTACGCATAGTTGGATGATATTATTTCCATATTCAACTGGACCATTTGAGTTGAACAATGCGCTCCACATCTAGAAAAAAGTGAACTGGTATGATTTGAAAATCCAGTGGATTGGACACTTCACCGCTCAAATAACCAACCCGACATACGCACAACGCATGGCCTGTCGAGGATTCTGAAGCTCTTGGCGTGTGTATCACGAAATAACCACAACCAAGTAAACGTAAAGCAGATTGGATTGTTCTTGGAAGCAACCCATGTCTTGTAGCACACAATTTCGGGACCCCAGTAGGCCTTCACCATCAGCATACTTCGATAAACTCACAGACACCCAAACATTTCTCCCGTTATGGAGCATTCCGATAACTCCAGCAGCCGAGGATCTTGACAAATGCATCGCTAAACTTGAAACTGAATATCCGGATATCTACTACACAGTTCCGTGCAAAGAAGTTCAATTGAGCAACCAGCACATGGCGAAGCTGCATTCGGCAACAACTGACATAGCGAGCTTAACCGAAGTCGACCACGTATGAATCTGCTTAGGTACGGCTTTCAGACCTGCACGCGAAATTAGTTGGTGGCCAGGATAGCACACCCCAGGGGGCTAAAACCCGTTAAAAGTTTGCTGTTTGGTCTTACCATGTCACGGAACACCAACCGACGGCAGCGCGTGAATCTAACTCCTATTTCAGGAAACTGACATTCCGACATTGAAACAGCAATCAATTAGACAGATAATCAAACAAGCTACTCCATCCCACTAAATGCGACAACTGGGCGAACAAACAGATTCATTGATTTCTTAAACAAAGACACTTCGATGCATCACGCCATGAAAATATGTTGCTGGAGTCTATTCACGTTGAAGACCTTAAGAACGCGGCCAGCAATACTTCTGATCAGATGGAGTCACATCCAGTGGGGAAGGCTTGACATGTAAAAAGAGGTCAGTCACAAAATTTTGTATTTAATACCGGTGCCTACTACTGAAAACTCGATAATGATGTTCAGTCGTACTTCCCAACTTTACATTAGGCTAACTCGATAGACTCTCTTTATTCCGGATGACCAGGGGTTTCCGGAGTTCGCTATACACAGGAAGAAGGAAATCAATCAAAATAGCGACCAGAGCAAAATCAATCTGGCCTGTCTGAAACAGGCGTGAATCTCACGATTTCCGCATATGTCTGACAGTTGTGGGCTGCCCGGATGTATTTGTCTGTCATGGATTCAGTAAAAAGGTCACCAGTTTATGGGTAGAAAAATTGAAGGGAATACTGTTTTTTCATAGTGCTTTGTGATAGTACCGTAGGTATACCTCATACTAATGGTATGGGTGTTTACACAAGTAATTGTTCCGAAGCTTAACAACATGAAGGAACCGACAGTCTCACCTGAGGTGACTTTTTTACTAATGCTGGACAATTTCGTTCTGTTGAGAAAAAACTAGGTCTGAAATTCGATCAAACTATTTTGCGGAATGTTTATTGACAAGTTTGAATAGAAAAATTTATGATCCAAAAATGCGAAACTCATTGGACGTCAGATTTCACCTCATCATCTTAATCACTAATGTCAAACAACCACAGTCCAAACAAATAAAGGAGAGGTCCTGTTCAGGTAAAAAGAAAACAGGCAAAAACGTACTCTTTGAGTCTATCCTTGTTTGTGGGAACGTAACTGGCAGAAGGGAGAAATTGTATCATATCCATCCGCTTGGCTATCTGGACTTGTTCTTCTTCAGTCAACCGAGAGGCTGGGATGGCCAGACCAGGATGAGGGTGATAAACAGGCGACTAGGCAATCGGATCGTGGAGAAAAAAGGTGTAATGCACCCGATCAGTGAAACCAGTCAGCATAGGGACATTATTGCACAACACAGTCAACATTCTTCACAAATCTTCACACATGGGAAATGTAACCCATTCGTGAAAAGCCTCCGATCACTAGAGGTCCGGTTGTCAGGAACTAACATGACTTAAGTTATCAACAGTATGGACGGATGTGAATCAGTCGGATCGAAATGATTCAGACATATTGTGTACTGCAAATACGCACCCATTCGTGTCCACAAATTTACGGTACAATAATACCATCAACCGGTCCAAGTTCAAAGTAAAGGTGAAAATCAATCATTCGCAAGCACAAACACTGCAAAACACAAATACCGATTAGATTGACACTGACCGTCCCCAGCTCATCACCATCGGGCAGATGAGTGGCACTCATTCGTGCTCGAGTGTAGCGTGATCAAGACAGATATATTCAACAAGGGGAGTACGACGTCAAACATTTCGGAAAGCCAATCAAGCTGAGAACGACTTAGAGGAAAGAAACACTTTAAGCGGAACGATAGTCCGATACGCACCAAGTTGGCTACGAATTTACTGATATTACATTATGTTACGCAGATAAACCTAAGGAACAGTCTTTCAAGTTAGGAGAAAGCCCTGGAGCTTGACAGTCTAGTATCGTCACGTGCATGAGACCACATGGTTGCTGAGGCAGTTTCTCGTCACCAAGCGAGAGCCATGGTTGTCTTCGATCGAATTCATGCCAGAGTATCCCAGGTAAATGCACTCCAAGATCAAACACCATATTCACCGCGAAAAAATAACCGTGGAGGCACGCCTAACAGAATAGTCAATGACATTCGTATTGCCAGTTATCATCCAGATTGACTAACTGAGAGTGTTGGTAGCCAACCCAAAAATTTCTCGCGACCTGCACGGACACCAGTCGATCATATTCAGAGGAGAATTGATAAACTATGGTTTGGGCATAGGAAGCATGCTTGTCTGGTTGCGGGGGTTAATAGTGTGAAACTCTTTAGCGACAGAAACGCCCTAAGTTACGTTGCTATAGTGATAGCAGACTATCCCGCCTTTGGGAAAACCGAAACAGTCCTTGAGAGCCTAAAAACAGCCTCACAACAAACAATGTCCGGATTTCAGGATACAGATGAATGAAATTTGCTCAGTTCCTTGATTGTCGGCTTGAGGATATCATTTGCAAATTTTCCTCGTTGGTAAAAAAGACTGGAAACAAGACTGTTTGATGGGATAAATCGCGAGTGTTGTATGGGGTAACATTGGAATATATTATGCACCTGATTGAATAAGATCTCTGACAATCTTCGGCGAGGTCTGTGGGTATAGCAAAACGTCATCTTTAGAGTGAATCTGTTGAAAGAGCGGTCTCTATCATCCAGATAACTTTTTCAAGACGTCCTAGCTTCCATGCATCATTCACACAATGCCGGTGGCACTATTGGCACGAGACACTGCCAGATAACCCAAACTCAAAGAACCTAAAAGCATGGCTGCAGGATCACGGTGGCTGGAGTAGAGTCACCACAGCAATCTACTTCGAAAACGGCACGAGACACTGCCAGATAACCCAAACTTAAAGGACCTAAAAGCATGACTGCAGGATCGCGGTGGCTGGAGTAGTCACCACAGCAATCTACTTCGAAAAGGGCCTTCAGACCTGTTCCAACCTCCATCCTGGGGTGGAATCAGCAGACCGAGTCTGTAAAACATCGTGGTGGAGACTGCGGAATCCCATCCAAAGATGTGGCACCACGACAAAGTACAGCGTCTGTGTGACGGAAAAAACAAATGCATTTTCGATGTACTAGCAAATTACGCAGTACAACAGTAACACGCTGGGTGTCAGTAGCGTGCTCACAACGGAATACTAGGTAATGAGTCATTGGATCACCAAATGGAGTCGAGTTAAAATTTTTGGCGGAAATACACTGACGTCGTGCCTCAGCTGAACAATTCTGCGCTACGGACATATAGTGAGCACAGCCCGACTCCGTCTCAACCGTCTCAACGTTGCCAAGCGATCGACGTAGACATTCGTCTAGTTTCTACATTTTGGGCTCAGCTCAATGGGTAATATGGTTGACTTCTGTCTCAAAGAAACGCGTCGAATTGCCGGAGCGACACCGGTTACGGGCTCTTGTTTTGAAATGTTGGGTGTGTTGTTCTGTTGACAAAGATGTAAAAGGTAACTTCCGAAATATATTCAGCAGCTTCCGGAGTCAACAGCGCAGTATATAAGCCGGTGCTCGAAGTTGGCGTAATATAACGATAGCGGTCATAACTGACCGATCTACGGAGCAACGAAGTGTAGAACAAACCGGTGATTATCTGCGCAGTTTTCTTCTGGCACAGTAGGCTGAAGGATCTATCCGTATTTTGTCTTGGGAAGGCAGTTCTCACACAAGCGGACGGCATCTGTTAGTCTTTTTCTCGTTAGAACACACTTATTCCAAACGTCGAGGACGAATGGATTCTTCTCGGATCCAACGCTATGTTGCTGTACCAAGTCCTGCCTCAGCGGTTGTGGGCTTTGATCGATTCCCTTACCATATTCGCGTCAACTTCAGATTAAGGAAACTACCTTTTCACCATTACAGCTCTCCTATTTCTGACAACGGCTAAAATTGACCATACTTCACCATGATAGAGTAATGTGACCAACAGTAATGTTTATCAGAGTCTATACATAAACACGGTATGACCCAATCGGGGCCGTTTTCTGAAGAACTTGGCGCCGCGTACCTCGGTAGTAGTTACTATACCGAATGGAGCGGATGGCAGGTCATTAACATTCGATGGACAAGTTGGAAGTAATATGCGCAAAGCAGTCGAGTTCACATCTAAGTAACTAAGATATTTACGCGATTCAAGACACAGAATAATGACCCATTAATCAATATTTGACATCAATCGATTAGAAACCGAAAAAAATCGGTCAACTAGAGATATAAGGTTAGCAACGAATGTCAGAACACTGTAAGAGGGCGTGGAAGTTATATGAAAATATATCGTCTCGAAGAAGAAGCTAACAATGAAAGTGTGAGGGGAAATCTGTGAATGTCTGGCCATCGCCTGGCTCTACATACCTTGTCCACTACCGGAAACAAAACGGCTGCACTCTGCACCACTCCCTACCTGTTGTAAACAGTATATATATATATGATCCAAATAAAACAAAGCATGTCGACGGCCATCCGTGAAATGATACACTATTAGCAAGATTGATGAAAACCCCACAGACAATTCACCAATCGGCTCACCCTGTTAGTTAAGCGAATTCCCCCAGTGCCAACCATTTTTATTCCTTGCTTCAGACCTGAATTGTATATATGTGAGTTTTGACACTCATCTGCAAACCTAGGTGCTAGTTAGTCCCCGTAAACGGGAAACCCTCACTCTAAACGGGGCATTGTTCCTTAGCTTACCACTAGAATGGTGAATAAAATATCATCCATAGCTCCGAAAGCGTCTGGGACGGTCTGGGTCCTACTAATCCCGAGGAATCAAGAAATGTGAACGTTGCCTAGCATTGCGAGCCTCGTAAGGAGAGCCAGTATGTCCAAATGCCCATTGAGGCCCTCTGGCGTTTCTGGCACTCATTCTAGCTAGTGAGCTTGACGAGTGAACTTACTCCAAAAAGAGATGATCACACATCTTATGCGCATGGCTGCGACCCACGGGGTTTCTTGGAGCATAAGGTAAAACAGGAATTGGTCAAGATATTCTAGTCAACTTAAAAGACCGAAAAGTTTTGGTGTGCTGAGACGATCGCTGACAGCTCGTTTTGTGGCCCTTAGTAGAGCCCTGTGTACCCAGCTCCTTAGGTCACTAAGTCATAAGAAATGAGATATTATTGTCTTTTAAAGGCGAACATTTCTGATGCAAAGCTTTTAAAGATGACGAACCACAGGCTTACAGAATCTTTCGAAGAAAATGAAGTCACGGAGCTTGTCATGTGTCTCCCCATAGTTCGTAGGCCTTAGATCTGAATGACCGTTGCGCATCATCTTGACACTGGCAGCAGCTGGTTTTTGGAACTTGAGTTAAGCTCTCTTTCCGAAGGTTTAGTAACTAGAAGACTCATCCAGTGTTTAAAAAGTTCATCCCTTAAAATTAAACGTGCAAGCAGGTGTGCAGGCAAAAGCAACGACGACCTTTGTTCCGATGTGATGAAAGACTGCCTCAACTAAGTGCGCTGCTTCAGGAAGTCACCCTATCGAGGGAGACGTGAAGTATTGGGGTGTCATTTCAACAATCTTTAGAAGTCTTGCAATGTGCTATTTAACTGTGAACTGAAACACACTATGAAAAACTGTAGGTATATCTTTGAGTCACACTGATAAGTGCAATTGTGTTCAAGTTCCCTCGAAGCTGGACATCATGCAAATACACCTCGTTCCATAAAACCTGATTGTAAGCAAATCCTTCAGCATCAGCTAATAATTCACTGATATTGCTGGTTATCAAATCCATCGACAAGACAGCTACATATCAATTGTCCCGATAGTCCAACCGAGCGAAAATTTTAAAGTGCCACCAATTCAGACTGACTTCACTCATTGTGAAATCTGGAAGGACGGCCGTCTACCCCGTACTACACCCTTGGTTCAGCCAACTAACTCGTATCAGAACCCAACCTCATGTGAAACAACAACCTAGCGGCAAAGGTATCAGCTGTCCTAGTTGCGTCGGTAGTTGCCATCTTCCCGAAGGAAGACCCAAAACGGCATAGGTAAGTAAAAATATTGGCTTCGATGAATAGCCGCCAGTAGAAGCTACGGACAAATGCAGTACACCCGTAATTCCACCCAATCTACTACCATATGTCTAGAGCGAACCGGTACGAAGCACTATCCTCAACGCTTTTCTACCCGCGTCATCCTCCTGTCATGGGTGCATCCAAAATCACAGCGAGTGGGACCAGTACAGTGGTTCGCGCAGCCTACAGCGCTAGACCATGAAAACAAAATATCAATATCTACATTCCTTTTTAATATAATTGCTGACAGTTCATGCCTTTTATGAGCAATTGAGAGGGTCACCAATAATGTATCACTTCTGTAATCCAAGCTTACGATATGAAAATAGGCCAAAAATGAATAAACAAGCAGCTTCAAAATGTCTTATGGATGAGTAGATAACAGTACGTACTTGTGTTGCAAACCCTTCCTCCGTCTCGGTGTCCAAAGTGTCATCTGTTTCAACATTATCCAGCAGAGGACCAGTGTCTCCGAAAATGCCAAAGCAATTCCCCATTGCGAAGCATGCGCCTGGATGCACTATAAGGCAACTACAGTGGTACACGAGAAGTCTTCACACATCGGCTGTACAAAAAGGTAAAAGTGTCTTTAGAAAATTATGCGTATAAGTAAACTATATTGACAAAATCAATCAACGGGGAGGCTTTGATGACTTGAAATAGTCGGAAACCAAAACGTGAGCAGCTGTCTGAATGATCTGTGGTTCGAAGCCATCCGTCGCTTTTTGACTGCTCTTACCTACGAGCGGGCAAGCCAGCAGTACTTCAGCCCGTATGCTTCTTTCTTATCGCATTGTAGTTATGCAACAGAAGTGTCACAAGCCAACGAGCTGGAGTAAACATTCAGTAATATAAAGGAAACATGGAAAAAGAGACACTATGAACTATAAGATGGATATGCCTTTCTGACTCGCGACCTGCGTATTCCATAACATAGGACTCAAAATACGTCCGAGGGCGAGGTCAGTAGTTGTCTGCTTCATTTTACGCTTTCACTGCAAAAAACTCAATGGATTGCTCCATTAAGTGTGACACCTAAATAATCAGTATGTGACTATCGGGTAGAGTTCTTTCTCGCTGGCAGATTTTATCATTGCGTGGGAATGCGCCCGGTAACTACCTGCGGTAAACACAAACCAACTGTTGTTCCGTAGTTAGAAACAAAAAGGGCGAGGCTTTGTCAAATCAACACCGAAAGTAAGCAAACTGAGTGCATCATGTTCCTGTCCAAAATCTTTCAGACGAGGACTGAATGCTGAATTACCTGCTACAGGGTGGCGGGTAGGTCGTCTGGGGACCAAATCCGAAAGCAACTGCTTCCTTAGATTTCATTAAGCCGATAGAAACACAGTTGAACTTGCTCAAACGGTGCCCCAGGTCTTCGAGAGTGCAATGAAAGCTTCGCCCTTCTATAACAATGGTACTTTGGGATGCTTGCAGCCAGATGACGATCAAAGAGTGCGAAGGGAAACTCAAAAGCAGCAAGACGAAAGGAAAACATCGAAATGATGATTCGGAGAAAATGAATATAACAGTAACAGGTTATGTGACGCCACTCGTCGGTAGCCATTTCAAACCACCGGGATCGCCCAGTGCTTAAAGCGCGAGTTTACTGACCGGAAGGTTCGTGGTTCGAAA